TTTCACACCCACGAAAGGATTGAATAATTTGGTCGCTCATTTTTATTGATCTACCTATCAACATCTCCCTTCAACCCACACTTACTATTATGATTTGATCAACGGTTATGTAGTAAAAATTCAAATGCTTAGTCTTTGTGGAAGTTCAACTAATCAAACAATGGCACTCAAAATAAATTAGTTGGGTCACAACTTGTTAACTATTGCGAGTTATGACCTGATATATACAAATAGATGTTAAGGGAATTTCATTTTTCTTTTTCTTTTTAATCGATAAATGCAAATTTTATTGATCAAAATTCATGTACAAGTACATCAAGTATACCCGGGCTAACTGGAAGCCAAAGATGCACATACAACTAGCATCTAATGACCCAATGCTAGAGAACCAAAGTGAATCAAAACATGAAAATTTAATATAAACATGACTTTATATACGTATATTTTGATCCGTCTCACAATACCATTGGTCCTCTTCTTTTAACTAAATTATGTCCATTTGACTTTGCTTCTACCTCTATTCCCACCAAACATCAAATTTTCAGCAGTATCTTCATCTCATAAAATGCACCAAAATTTGAGTAGGGAAGAAGTTCTTTCAAAATTTCTATCTCGTATCAACAATTTTTATTTGCTCCGAGTTGTTCAAGAATAGCGACGTTGAATTCATCGATCCTTTGATTCAGTATTGCTAATATTAGGATTAGTCAATTTCATTTCTAGATAGGGGCAAAAATGAGATAACTCAATAATAGAGAACTAAAATGACATGGTAGAACCGTATAAGTCACCAAATCAAATGAAGAACCAATTTTCTTTGTGATAAACAAATCTGAATAATGTTCTCATCTTTTATGCTACAAAAAACATATCAATATTTAACATACTTACTTCAAGCAGTAATGCAAATATTATTCAGTAATCTCTAATTAGAAGGTTCTATGATTAAACTCTGCTCCCATCGATCTTTAGTATATTATCAACAATTTGCAGCCCATCTTCTGTGGCAATCACTGCTGTGCACCTGTCATTCAGCCCGCAACCTTTGAACACACATTTAAATTATTTCCATGATGAAAATTCTTGGCTAATGGAGAACAAAAGCGAGTTTAATAAGAAACACGATACTATTAGGATCGGCTACTTAAAATATTGATTTTAAGGCGTGAATAAACCAAAATTAACATGAGCAACGTCAATAAAATAGATAAAATAGAAAAAGGTAAGTATAAGGAACTGACGGTATCCTGGAAATAACCCCGTGCTCTACAACACCATCAACTTGATCCAAACTATCGGCTACTTCAGCTGCAAGAAAATCAGTACCAGCCTAAGAAAAGATTGTCTGAAGTAGAGAAAAACTGAAAAATACACTTGTATATCGAAATGTATAATTGTACCGAGGCTTATTATTGGAGATGTAAAAATTACATTGAGAACATTATGCCCTTCTTTAGTGACTAGAGGGAAATCACCCCCTAATGGACCTGCATACCCTACAGATGGTCTCCTCCAAACCTTATTAAAATTAAAAGAAAAAAAAAATTATGAAATTTTGTCCTCCATGTCAATAATAGTTGTCTAACTCCATAAGTTAAACATAACACATAACTAATGCAATGCGAAATGGGTAACCAAATACTTAAACCCGATCTAGACTATGATAGGCCTCCATTTCTAGAAGAGCCCGGAAGAATTGAGAAGAATATACATCCACAGAATTCTGTTATGGCAACCTGTAGAGTAGTGGGGGAGGAATTGAGTGAGTGAAAGTGAGGCCTAGGAAGATTTTTGCTTATACATATTCCATTCTTTGCTTTTCCCTGTTAGAACCTTAACAGACTATAACTAAGACTAGAGAAGTTGCAGTTCTCAATAGACCCTTCATTCTGAGATATCCAAAAAACTAGTCCAGGCCTCGGTCCATAATAATCTATCCCATCACTTCCTGCCCTCCAATTTAGTGTTTCTGTTGATCCTATAATTCTGATTTTTTTCAGATTCTTTCCAGGAAGCATGAAAGGAAGTACTACTACATGACCAAACCTCATTTTAACTGGGCCTATCTATAATGTAACTAAATCCTTTCTGCTAAAAATAACAAAAGAAATGAGATGTGATGATTGACAATGAACAACAGGAAGTTTATAATTATTAACCTAGAATTAACAGGATTAAAAAATCTATAACCTAAACTGCTAATCACAAGCTTGCTAGGCATGGAATAACTTATTATATATCTCCACATCACCATCTCTGTGGTAGACTCAATGATCTTTACTGAAAATGAATTAGCTATAACATTTTTTTGGGTTCGGCGCTGGGAACTAGGGAAAATTTGAGAGCACAAGATCTAACATTCCAGTAATTTTCTAATTGTAAATCCAATGGTTTACAATTTTAACGGGGACCTAGGTGCTAAAACGATGCACTAAAATTATCTTGTAAATTTCAAGCCATATTATTGAAGAAGTTCAAGTTTTACAAAATCTAGAGGAGAGTGTAAAGCAAAGAAATCTTCAAATTAATCACATAGCAATTCTCTGTCTTGTATGAGAATACCTCGGCATCACCAAGGAACAGGTCATCAATTTCTTCAGCAGTTTCCAACCAGTTGATCTGCAATACAAAAGAAAAATGTTTGAAAGAAATGTCCCATCATAACACAAGACAATAACTTGCGTACTTCTTGTGCTTGAGCTTACGGATCTGATTAGAACAGGTATTGATCCATCTACAGCTCCTTGATACTGTTTTCCTGTGACAATGAGAACAAGTTTCCCAGCCGACTTAAGAACAGTCTGCACCAGAATTAACGAGTGTAGCTGAACAATAATCATAATTTGAAAGGAATCTATGCAAGATAAGGAGAATATTGTAACATGGCATATCCAAGGCATATTTAGTTAAGATGATCCGAAACAAAAATACTATAAGAAAAGTCATTTTAGTGTTTCACTACACACACAGTTATCCATAGTAATGTTAGAATCTATATTTTGTGGTTTTCCTCTCTGAAATAAGAATTGAAATTGTACTGATTGAAGGATGCACTTTTGAGTGACCTTTTCTTGAATTAATGACTCGCCGCCCTCCATTGTCTGACGCCCAATGACTGCTGCAAGTGTTTCTTCTTCTATAACGTCAGCATCATTGAATGCTAAATCAATCTAAAACATGGCAAAGCAGAATGTGGTAAAGCACAATCCAAGCTGATCTACAGTATAAAATGAAAAGAGCCATCCAATAATATCATTCACCATAACTAAAACTGAACAATGCAATTGAGTACAATACAACAAAATAAAATGTGCACACTTTAGAGCTGTCTCCATATTGATCCAATGGGATTCCGACCTTTGCAGCTTCACTTGCACTACCAACAGATCTGCACCACAGTGTTGCTGATTACTCCTAATGGAAAAATGAAACAGAAACTGTAAGTGCTAACCAAAACAACATCATTGCAAGCACAATGCTCATCAAACTTGCACCTTGAGTTTGGACGTTGGCAAAACTCAAATGCATGCTCTAAAAGTGGTATGTCTACTCAGTTTAACTTTTCTATAAGCTATTAATACACTGGAGTACTTTGAAATACTGACACTAGATGAAATATCTTATGCAACCAGTGAATCAATTAATGTCATCATCCCAGACCACAATAATTGAGACAAAATTCCACTATATAATAAAGCGCTATACTTTGTTCTCTAAAACCTTGAAACTCCTATCATAAATCTGTGAAAAAATTGAAGATTTCGACTAGGCATAAAACGTTTGCCATGCCAATATTGTCCAGCTCATTTTGTCTGAAAAAAAATGGCATTCCCCGCATTCAGTCGGTTTAGTCAAGTTAATATTTTTTAACTCTTGATTTCTCGAGAAATAAATTCTTGCCAAACAAACAGACCTTAAATTAGAGACTTTAACTTATCATGATCCTTACACAAAATCGAGGATTTTGACTTACGTAGGAATTCCAACAATATCTTTAATCAGACCGGAACGAAGCTGGCGCCCCAAATACTGTATGGCTAGACCAGAAGCACGGCCAGACCCCAGTCCAATCACCATTCCATTTTCGACATACGAATCCACCTTTGAAATACAATTAAAAATCAAAGCTTAATTACCCAAAAAAATAGACATACAGTTAAGCAACAATGCCTTCAAAAAAAAATAATAATAATAATAATAATATATAAATAAAAACTTTAGTAGCATAGAAATGATTACGGTGTATTTGGCTGCTTGGAGGAGGGTGGAATCGTCAAGGAGGCTGTTGCAAGTTACCAGGGGAAGCGCATTAGGTCTTCTTATTGTTGAATGTCGGTTTAATTTGACGAGCGAGAGAGAATGAATCGATGAAAATGATGATGTTAGTGCCATTGTCACAGAAAATTTTTCGGCCTTTTTTCTAGATTATATACTGTCGTTTCAGGGGTTTATAAACTTGAAATGAAAGGATAAGAGGACGGTCCCTCTACGGTTTCATATATTTTGGGTAGATTTTCATCCGTGGTCACTGAACTTGTTTAAAAAATTTAATTGAGTCACTGAACAAATGATTTTAGTTTTTGGAATCATGATCAACTTTTAAATAATTTGCGAAAACGATATTGAAACCCATAAATGATATGTGTTGTATTAGCTCTTTTTAATGAATACCATAACTTTGGATAAGAGATGGAAACATGCATTCATGGTTTTTATAGTTCATTTGCAAATCACTATGAATCTAGTGTGCTTTATATAATGTATTTCTTAAAGATATAGTGAGTTCTTATCAAAAATTAGATTTCGTTTTACTCAAAAAAGACTATCAAATAAGTTAGAGAATTTAACCAGCAATATGGGTAATAAACTTTAACAATACGTTGAGAAGAAATTAAATTAGATTATATGTGTTGAAGTAGGATGCTCTAGTGTTCTAAATGTATTGATTTATCTAAGTTGCTTATTTATTTAAAATTATCTTATTCAACCTCTACAAATCAATTTCATCAACTAAAGTTATGATACTATCCTCGTTCGCCTTATTGCATGTTTAACATTTACACTTGCAATTGTACCCAACGATCTTTATTTGTACAAATATGAGTCCAATGATTTCAAATTGGTGTCACATAGGTGATAGGTTCGTCCAGCCAGTTTACTTGCCCAAGTCGAGTTGCGGTTTATAGATGGATGAGCTCAACTCAACCGTTGAGTCCACCCAAATCCAAATCAATATATTTTAGTGGAAATTAAATCTACCTAGACATTTCAACTTCACAATTCAAAATCAAGATTTACAAATTTTT